GGACAAACTTTATTATTTTCATGGGAAGAAAAAGTGTAATCCTCATGTTTAAGAGAACAATAATTCACTTTGTTGAGATGAAGACTCCTTTGATTGTCATGTTTTGTTTTGTTTTTCTTTTTTCATATAAAGTTTCTCATGTTTTATTGATTTGTTCTGCCATGCTTTAGGATGCATCATCGTGGGCCATGTTTTGACTTTGAGCCTGATGAAATTATTACTAATCGGCCCCATGTCGGAGGCATTAGGCCCAACTTTCAGAATTCAGGACCCAACCAGCCCAACTTCCAATTTCTACAGCCCAAAAAGGGGAAATTTCCTACATCACACAACCAGATGCTACCAGTGACCGCCATGGCAGCAACAAAGAAGCTCTCATCTCTTTTTCCTTTGCTCTCTCTCCTCTGCTTCATCTCCATCTTCTTCCTCCTCTCCCTCTCCAGAAGAGCATCCATTTCCTCACCTCCAAAACAATCCCGAGTCTTCCAAATTGCTAGCAACGGTAGCTATGGTGTTAACAATGTTGGCCCATGCTCTGGATGCGACTACTCGGACGGGTCGTGGATCTACGACCCAGATGCTAGACTTGAGAGGTACGATAGCAGCTGCAAGGAGATATTCAAAGGATGGAACTGTGGATTGAACAACAAATCCAACGCTAAAGAGATCATCAAGTGGCGCTGGATCCCCAGAAACTGCCCCCTTCCGCAATTGGATCCGCTCAAGTTTCTGGAGACCTATAGAGATACTAACATGGGTATTCTCTCACCTGGGCCTTGTTTAGTTTCTGGGAAAATTGGGAAAGCAGGGAGTTTCTCTAAATTTCAGCAATTGAAGTGACACACTTGTTCTTTTTGATGTATCCTGCTCTTTGTAGACGTTACGAATGTTTAGCAGTGCAGGGTTCATTGACGATTCCTTGAATGGGAATATGTTTGTTTCTTTATTCTGCACTCTGAAACGGGTGTCGAGTGAAGTGAAGAAATGGCGTCCTGCTGGGGCTGATCGGGGGTTTACGTTTCTTCAGCATAATCTCACCATTGCATATCATCGAACCAATCTTTTGGTCCGTTACGGTTGGTAAGCTGGTTTTGCTGTTTTTTCTGCATTATACTTAATGTTAGTGTGATTGCTTAAGTTCTTTGTCCTTAACCTAGAATTGTTGATTTACTTAGAAAACAAAATTCCAATTTTAGGGGAGTGAAGTATTGTAGTATACATTAGTGAGTTGATCTCATATAAATCAATCTGGTTTTGATTTGATATTGTTGCTTTATTTATTTTCTTCATGCTTATTTGATGCAGGTGGTCAGCTAGTGATAATGGTGGAGAGTTAGAAACTCTTTGTTACATCCGGGTACAGGTAAATTCTTTAGGGTTCCATTGGAAACACTTTATTTATTTTATTAAAACATTTCCCCACATTAAGAATAAGAAGCTGCTGATCATAGGAATTTCCATAGCAGAACATAAACGAGTTTGGGG